GATGATGGCGGGGGTCGAATGGCAGAGCTGATGACTTCTGACCCGAAAGTTTAGAGTTCGGATCTCGGGCTCGAGTCTGTAGGACGTCCCTGAGTCTACCCAGCCCCGGGGGGGGGGGGTACCTGACTCTCTCGTTGAGGAAAGTAAAGGCGGCTGTGCGTAGGTCATTGAACACATGAACTTTACTTCATCTGCCCCATCGTAGGCACGAACAGGAAAGGGTGAAGAGATGTGATACGTACAAAGGAACTTAGCTTTTAGGCGGACCGTCTGTAGTTTTGAGATAAGAATGGTAAAATAAAGAGTTCCGGTTATTCACTTTCTTGGTAATTTTCCGAATTAATTATTTATTAATCTTGTTCGTATGGTTTTAAACAAATAACGTCAACTTAATGCAGACACTAGCCTAAATAGCCAAACCCAAGTGTGAATCTCCTCAAGTGGTTAATCCACCAGCTGTACAAGTGCTCAAAGAAAGATGATACTCTGTTATTAAAATATTGTCGACAAGTAAATGATTTAAAATTTTTCCTACCGCCTTTTAAAAATGTCAACCGTTTAAATTTCAGTGGGGTTTTTTTTTTATTTAATTTAATTTTTTTAAATTTCAGGACATACTAAGTCTTAGTGATTTCTGGAAAATCCTAGCCTTTTTTTTTAGCTTTTTGAAAAGTCATGAACTTTTCACGAGTACACGTGAACTTCTTTGACATGTTCTAAATTAATCTTTTATTTATTTCATAACCCGCTTCCCCTACTTGTCAACTGCTGCAAAACTTGTCAAACTTAAAACCAAGTAGATCTACTTTTTTATTATTAAGAAGTAATCAACTGAAAATAACCCGATTGAAATCGGATCTTGAATAAAAGTGCTAGACTGGTAGAATTGGGACAGTCTAAACACGACTGCCCTCGCCGTGTCACCTGTAGAGCACATGGTAGCCCTCACATTCGGCGTAACCATGGGAGGCGGGCGGGGGATGGCTTGGGCGTGTAGCTAAAGTTTCCGTAAAATAGAATGAAAGTAATACAATATAAAATTCACATGTCTGATTTTCAGAAAAAGTCGGTGGCCAGAAAATATTTATTAAAAAACGTTTTTTTTTCTGTTAGCAATTTTCTTCAAACGGAAAAGGGGGATTTCTACATCATCCAGTATCAACAGCATATAGATCAGTGGTTCTCAAACAGGGTTCGATCGAACCCCAGGGGCTCGGTGAGTCAGTCTCAGGGGTTCGGCGGAGATCGAGATACATATCCGAGTCATATGATTCACAATCGGATGTTGTCAGCTCGGGCGATAGACGAACTATTAAGGGCAGAGAAGGGTCTGGTGAATGTACACGGTAATTGGTGGGAGTTCGGTGCCTCCAAAAGGTTAAGCAATCACTGCTATAGATCAGGGGTCGGCAACCTTTTGGGACAGAAGAGCCAAAAGTTATAATTTACCAAATATCCCCGTTTTTAAAGAGCCACTAACGTTTCTATTTCAATATTATGATATTTGATTAGGATTTTATATATATATATATATATATATATACATATATATATATATATATATATATATATATATATATATATATATATATATACTAGCCGTCCCGGCCAGGCCCTGCTCTGGCTTCTGTGAAAAACCTTTCTGTTACAGACCATTACCTGTGTGTTTAGTAATCATCATAAACCCGGCATTGCCCACCCAAACCACAACCAACCAAAACAACAAAACGCAAACATAACGCTAATACAATTACAAATACAAACGAAAACAAAAACCTAACAACAAACCCAACCACAACCACAAACACCAATACAAACACAAAGAAAAAACAAACAAAAAAGCAAACGGAAACAAAAACCTAACAACAAACCCAACCACAAACACCAATACCAACAAAAAAAAACAACGAAAAAGCAAACGAAAACAAACCAAATCCAAACGCAAAACCAACCAAAAACACAAATACAAACCCAAACAAAAAAACACAAACAAAAACGAAAAAAGAAAGAACAAAAACGAACCAAATCAAAACGCAACCACTAACGCAAACCCACCTAAACACAAAGAAAACACTAACGCGAACATAAACGCCCGGGGCGAAATCACCTGTTTTAGTTTAATGAACGGCTATAGTACCCCAACTTATTCATAGTCTTTTGCACTCACTTAAACGAACGCGCCTGTTTCAATTTAATGAACAATTATAATACTCCAAGCTTATCCGTAAAATACCTACAACATTTGCACTTGATCAATCCCCGCTAATTCCCAACACCAAAACAAAGTAATAAAAAGTAAATTATTTTCCACTAATGCAATGGTTCTATAAAGGGAAGTAATTGTGTTTTCCTAAAAATATCAAAGGGAAGTAAGTGCTATAGGACTAAATAAAGACATAATTAGAATTTTTGTAAAAGATGATATTTTTTTAAAACTTGTGTTTAATGAACATGCCGACAATTATTACTATAATTTGAAAAATGAAAATTATTTCCCAACACTTTCAATAGTAATTTTTTAACTCATAAATTTAGACAAATGCGCACGATAATTGTCTAACACTTAAATCCATCCAAGACCAACGACAAACATATGCGTTACAAACAGAACTGAGCTTTATATATTAGATATAGATACTATCCTAATATATAAAACCCCACGTTCGCACATCTCTCTCTCTCTCTCTCTGTCTGTCTGTCCGCAAAATATTTTCGCCGGACATCACGTCAGAATCGGCAGCAATATATGAAGAACTTTTTACGGATTTTTGTTGAAAATAATATGTTAGATGTTTTAAATGTATAACCACAATTTTATTTAAAGAAGAAAAATAAAAAATAAAGGCGTATTCGAATATAGAGAAACAGTATTATTTATGCAACCGGAAAAGTGTATAAACTTGGAACAAGAACGCATTTAACAATGACGTCGCATATTGTTTACACTAAAACAAGAGCACGAAACTGATGACGTCATATTCCGAGATTAGAATTTTAAAAAGTAAACTATTTCATTCAAATATGATTTAGATCTATGTACGCTATGAAATGTATACAATACGATTTTCTCGGCCTAAACTTTAAAAAAATTATTTTATCTATTTGGATTCTAGATCTAGAGATTCTAGATCTTGATCTAGATGATCTATAAAGCTAAGTTGTCGGGTGCCCGATAGGGCACTTCCCGGCGCCGCAGGCGCTTCAAATTTGGCAGGATCTTGCCTTGGGGCGACAGAACACGGGGGCCGGTTGGCCGAAAAGTCTACGATGAGGGGGGTCAAAACTGACCTCGACTGACCGGCGCCTTATATGGGCGAATTAATTAAGCATTCAAATTCTCAATGTTTTCGAAAGCCTAAGCGAAGCTGGGCAGCATGCCTAGTATATATATATATATATATATATATATATATATATATATATATATATATATATATATATATATATATATATATATATATATATATATATATATATATATTTCTTTAAAAATGAAATAATATTTAATCAAATAAAAAAATACATATGTTTCGCAGAAAAGTGTACTAAAGTATTTTATCTTGCTCTGCTAGAATAATAAAGTCAGTATTCAAAGTATAGAACTTTAATTATCGAATACTATTTACAACAGTTTCGCATTGCATGCCTTTTGAAAGTTTGTTTAAACCTGGCTCATAACTTATTTTCAGTTTCAAGTAGGCCTCTAGATTTTTATTTGTTAGTAGACTTCTATACTTTGTACTATATGCATGCAAGAAAACGCTTGCTCGCATAATATATTGATAGAAGACCGTCAGCACTCCAAATGCTAACTTCTTCACCTCACTGTAGCATCCGGGAAGACTATTCCATGCATCACATAATAGTGCCTCAACTCGCGGCATTACTTTTAGAGCTGTCCAGTTGTGCAGCGTAACGTGCATGTATTACTGTACCTCCGAATCATCTAATTTCCTCTTGAGATCTGTGAACTTACAGCTCCACAAATTTTTGGTTTTCAAATCTAGCAATTTAATTTGAAGCGAATCAGCAACAATTCCAAATAGCTCAAAGTTAATCTCATTTGTTTTTGTGTTGAGAGAATCTACTATGAACTTCAGAGTACTTGCATTTCTTTTGAATTGCTAAAATCTCTCAGTGAACCCATCCTTCATTTTGTTTATAGCAATGCTGAAGTGATTCATGTTAATAGTATCGTTAGTTTTATCATAATATTTTTTCAGATTTTTCGAAATAAAGTAATTTACCGCTCTCCGTGTCTTCAACAAAATAAAGTAATTTTTTTTTCGAAACAATCATCTTCTTCAAGCAAGGCATAGGCTGGGTTTTTTTTTCCATTAAACTCGTTTAGTTTCTTTGTGATATCCACCATGAAGTTGAATGTTTCTATTTGGGATAGACAAGTTAATAGGAAGTACATTGAAATGGGGAGTAGTTAAATATTATAATATTAATATATTAGCGAGTGTTTATTGTTTATGTTTATTATTTTATCGTTCATTACCGAGTATTGCAAAACAATATTTTTGTGAGATTTGAAAATAAAATAAATAATTTTAATATTTGTGCATAGAGCTGAAGAGCCGTCTATCGACACAAAAAGAGCCGCATGCTGCTCGCGAGCTGCAGGTTGCAGACTTTGCTATAGATGTATGCCTGCAGTATTTTATTTCAGGGATAAACAACTTAGATGCTAGTTCCTAGGTTTTACTGTCTCTAGTCACACAGCTGCCGTTGTTTCAATTGTTGGATCTCTTATCACGTTGGTGCTGTTTACGATTTAGGTTGGGTGGGGTGGTGATATTATGTAATAATAGAGGCGGGTCTTGATGGAAGATGGGTGTCAACATCACCTAGCAACACAAGACTTCAATGGTAGCAGATATGGCTCAGTTTTGTAACAGATGAGATTCTAAAAAATGAATTAGTTTTAGATTGAAACATAAAAAAAAACCCAGACAAAATGAATTTTTTGTTTAGAGAAATGTATTTATTTCGCTAGCCTGCCGCACAACAATAAAAAATCTAGAGTACTAGAACTTGAAGGATTGACAGGATATGGTTTATTTGTATCCTTGTACAACAGGTAAAAACAACAGGTACTCATGTACTTGAAGCGTAAGAATAAAATTAATTTTAACAAGGGTCAGAAGCTATGGCAGTTTTGTTCTGTTACTGACGGGGTATGAGTGACAAGAATAGGAAAGTATGGTCTGACCACAATGTCTGTTACATTGTACGGGTATTCTCAGACTCAAGCAAATATCATCTCCCTGACCCCAAGCAGGACCCAATGGGACCTCACTGACCCCTGTCACGAGTCTAAGATTCCCCAACTCCAGCCACCTGATCTAGGTAAAGATGTCACAACATCATGCTGACCACCAATAGTTAGATGCTTAAGGTATACATGTACTCTACTTCATCTACTTCATTTGGTATAATTCTTTAATATGCTCACCTACTAGGTATATTCACAGATTTAAAACACCACAAAAGTTGTGAGAATAGCAGCATGTTAACATACCAAACAGTTGTGAATATAGCCCGCACAGTTGAGAAACCATCAACACCACATCTCTCTCACACAACAGCACCATCCTCTCACAACAGCACCATCCACATACAACAGCACCACCCTTACACAACAGCACCATCCTCACACAACAGCATCATCCACACACAACAGCACCATCCACACACAACAGCACAACCCTCACACAACAGCACCATCCTCACACAACAGCACCATCCTCTCACAACAGCACCATCCACATACAACAGCACCACCCTTACACAACAGCACCATCCTCACACAACAGCATCATCCACACACAACAGCACCATCCACACACAACAGCACCACCCTCACACAACAGCACAACCCTCACACAACAGCACCATCCTCACACAACAGCACCATCCACACACAACAGCACCATCCACACACAACAGCACCATCCACACAGAACAGCACCATCCTCACACAACAGCACCATCCACACACAACAGTACCACTCTCACACAACAGCACCATCCACACACAACAGCATCATCCTCACACAACAGCACCACCCTCAGTTGTGAATATAGCCCGCACAGTTGAGAAACCATCAACACCACATCTCTCTCACACAACAGCACCATCCTCTCACAACAGCACCATCCACATACAACAGCACCACCCTTACACAACAGCACCATCCTCACACAACAGCATCATCCACACACAACAGCACCATCCACACACAACAGCACAACCCTCACACAACAGCACCATCCTCACACAACAGCACCATCCTCTCACAACAGCACCATCCACATACAACAGCACCACCCTTACACAACAGCACCATCCTCACACAACAGCATCATCCACACACAACAGCACCATCCACACACAACAGCACCACCCTCACACAACAGCACAACCCTCACACAACAGCACCATCCTCACACAACAGCACCATCCACACACAACAGCACCATCCACACACAACAGCACCATCCACACAGAACAGCACCATCCTCACACAACAGCACCATCCTACTCACACAACATCACCACCCTCACACAACAGCATCATCCTCACACAACAGCACCATCCACACACAACAGCACCATCCTCACACAACAGCACCATCCTCACACAACAGCACCATCCTACTCACACAACATCACCACCCTCACACAACAGCATCATCCTCACACAACAGCTCCATCCACATACAACAGCTCCATCCTCACACAACGGCACCACCCTCACACAACAGCACCATCCACACACAACAGCACCATCCACACAGAACAGCACCATCCTCACACAACAGCACCATCCTACTCACACAACATCACCACCCTCACACAACAGCATCATCCTCACACAACAGCACAATCCACACACAACAGCACCATCCTCACACAACAGCACCATCCTCACACAACAGCACCATCCTACTCACACAACATCACCACCCTCACACAACAGCATCATCCTCACACAACAGCACCATCCACACACAACAGCACCATCCTCACACAACAGCACCATCCTCACACAACAGCACCATCCTACTCACACAACATCACCACCCTCACACAACAGCACCACCCTCACACAACAGCATCATCCTCACACAACAGCTCCATCCACATACAACAGCTCCATCCTCACACAACGGCTCCATCCACATACAACAGACCTATCCTCTCACAACGGCACCACCCTCACACAACAGCACCATCCACATACAACAGCACTATCCTCACACAACAGTACCATCCTCACACAACAGCACCATCCTACTCACACAAGAGCACCATCCTCCACATACAGCAGCACAACCCTCACACAACAGCACCATCCACACACAACAGCACCAACCTCACACAACAGCACCACCCTCACACAACAGCACCACCCTCACACAACAGCACCATCCACACACAACAGCACCACTCTCCTCACACAACAGCACCACTCTCCTCACACAACAGCACCATCCACACACAACAGCACCATCCACACACAACAGCACCATCCACACACAACAGCACCATCCTCACACAACAGCACCATCCACACAACAGCACCATCCTCACACAACAGCACCATCCTCACACAACAGCATCATGCATGATGACAAAAACCTTTGCACTTTTTCCTACGTCTCAAAACTCACTTCTGTGAAGGGATCATATAAACACATTAAAGCAAGCTCATGTACTTTACACAGTCACTGGACCCTGCATCTGATGTACATCCCTCAACCTCTGAGGGGATTAAGTCAGGGGATTAACCTGCTCATGTTCCAGCCTTCTTGGACAGAAATAAGTTCTCCAGGGTTGTAAAATATCAGGAGTATTTCTTCGCAAGCTGTTTTAAAATTTTTAATGTCGACCCCCGGTATCCACCGCCAAAATGATTCCTGAAAATAAAAAAACACTGATGACATGTTTAAAAAGGACTTTTTCTTCTTCTTCTTCGTTCTTAATTATTAGTGTTGAAGGGGATCGAGATTTATCTGCCAGTGGGTTTGAACTCGAGACTTTGTTCGAATTTATCAACCATGAGCTTTTTGCCGACTCGACCACGCCTCCAACACAATTAAGCGTTACGTGTCAACTGGTTATGCGCCATTGAGGTCATTGACTCCGATTTCAGCCTGCTTTTCTTTTTGGATTTGCTTCCATAGCCTTTGTCCAACCAAGAACAAACTACAAGGCAGCAGTTGTTTAATTTTGGAGTTGTCTCTCCTAGAAGAGTGGCTGTCCCCAGCTAACGAGCCTCATCTGCCCGAGGGTTTGAACTCGAGACTTTTCGGTTTAGCAACCATGAGCTTTACCGACTCGACCACTTTTTCAAATTTACTGATTTTAGTGACTTATTTTAAAAAACAGTAAAAATAAAAATACATCAATTAACTGTATGAAAAGGACATTAAAATTTATTGATATTAATAACTTATTTTCATAAATGTTTAAAGTGACCGGGTGGTTTATACCCAGCCCCCTTTACTTTCCTTAACATGTTTCAGGTACTCATATGGGCTGGGTGGAGTAAAAAAAAGTCCTACATACACTACCCTAAGTTCCAAACTTCTGACTTTTATCTTAGCTGTCAAGCTCAACAATGTTAGAACCACCCAATTTTTTAAATTTAAATTAAATGTTAAAAAAAAAATTTGAACAGTAGTTTATAATGTCCTTAGTGTTAAAGTTATTACCGATAACCACAATGAAATTTAACACCTACATTCTACCTGTATATTATTTCATAAAAACTTGAATCAATGGCCAGAAATGCTACTCACAGAAGTGAAAATCATTTATCCAAACAGATGATAAAATTGGTTTTGCATTTCATGTGTACTTAAATAAAAACAATTTTCAGAGTGGATGTTTGAATTCCCATTCACAAAAATAACCTGTAATCATAGTTTGCTAATCTAGAGCAGAGAGTACAATGACGTGGGTTAAAACTATTTACTATGGTCTCCCTTAAGGTAGGCTTGTTCTATTGTTGCTATGGCTAATGGATTTCTCTGTACAATTTACAAAGTGGTGTTGTGTCACAGTAACCTTTGTTTTCATTCACAATCAAATTAAAATTTAATTTGATTGTGAATGAAAACAAAGGTTACAATATTCATCTCAGACAGAGAGTAATCACATTATGACAGGTGATCCCTAGACATCATGACCAGACATCATCATCACCATTGCCAGACACCAACAGACATCATCAACATCACTGGACACATCAAAATAGCCAGACATGACTAGACATCATCAGAAATGATTACACATCACCAGACATCATCAACATCATCAGACAATACTAGTCATTGCCAGACACTAACAGATATCATCAACATCACAAGAAATCAAATGGTAAAAGAAAAGGGGTAGGCCAAAAAAACTTGGAGACGTGCCTTGGATTTGGATGATGACACAAGAAAAATAAAATTACCCCTGGTGGCAGTTGAAAAACTCACCCTAGCGTAGGACATGAACAACCCATACTAACCAAGCCACACAACAGTTTAGAACACAGACCACCCGTATATAAATCAAGATGGGGAAGAGTGGTTGGCTGGTAGACCGCATAATTGTTAGACCACATTATCCGGGCTTGAGCCTGTAGGACGTCCCTGAGTCTACCCAGCTCTGATGGGTACATGACTCACAAACAAAGTTGGCTGGGGATAGTGGTGACCACATTATCCCCTTTAGAATGCTGAGGTGATTAAAACAGATGAACTCTACTTCATCTGCCCCTTGTGTCTACAGCATCAACATGAAAAGATGACATTATGAAGCAAGACACACATACCAGTGGTTGAAGTAATGAACCAAGACACACATACCAGTAGTTGAAGTAATGAACCAAGACACACATACCAGTGGTTGAAGTAATGAAGCAAGACACACATACCAGTGGTTGAAGTAATGAACCAAGACACACATACCAGTGGTTGAAGTAATGAACCAAGACACACATACCAGTGGTTGAAGTAGTGAAACAAGACACACATACCAGTGGTTGAAGTAGTGAACCAAGACACACATACCAGTGGTTGAAGTAATGAACCAAGACACACATACCAGTGGTTGAAGTAATGAACCAAGACACACATACCAGTGGTTGAAGTAATGAAGCAAGACACACATACCAGTGGTTGAAGTAATGAACCAAGACAAACAAACCAGTGGTTGAAGTAGTGAAGCAAGACACACATACCAGTGGTTGAAGTAGTGAAGCAAGACACACATACCAGTGGTTGAAGTAGTGAAGCAAGACACACATACCAGTGGTTGAAGTAGTGAAACATCATGTACAGCTCCTGTCTGTCATCAAAGCCGAGCAGCTGGGGCAGTAGAGTGTGGTAGCTGCTGAAGTAGGCTTTACCAAACCCACCAAACATCTTGGAGATGGCCAGGTCGTATTCAGCATGGCCGTAGAATGATGCTGGGTCAAATATTACTGAAACATTACAGCAATAAAATGATATGGGGATTGATAAGGGGTGGTCGGAATTTCTAAAAAAAAAAAAAACAGTTGGATGTAGGGGGAGGGGGTGGTTAAAAATATGAAGAGGCATAATTAATTAATTAAAATATATTTTTGTAGAAAATCATATTTATCATTTTTAGTGTGGGGGATTGGAACTCTGTGGTATCATTTTGGGAAGGGGAGGGTTTTCAATTGGAACTCTGATATTCTTTTGGGGATGGGAGGGGGGAGGTCTGGATTTTTTTTAAACATTCAAATGATGGGGCTACGAGGTAAAATTTGTAAAATGGTTGACACCTTGAACAAAATTAAATTAGGAATATAAACTATAAATAGATTTTAAAGTAAATTTTGAGTTACATAACTTAGTAATTACTTAGATTTATTTTTTTATTTCTTCTATCCTTAAGTTCAATTACAAATACCAGTGTGGAAGATTTTTAAGGGGAAGCAACAAGTATTAACCTGGGCCATCATCAGTTGATCCAGCATTCCCTCCCCATAGATCTCCATGTAGCAGTGCTGGCTTGATGTCCAACCCTTTAAACATCTTATGTAAGTTCTGTGACAAGCTGTTCCATTCAGCCTCAGCTTCCTGCAATTGTTTTATATTTACATATCCATTTCTAGTTTTATATTTACATACTTATTTCTATAGTTTTATATTTACACACCCACTTCTATAGTTTTATATTTACACAACCATTGCTTTAGTTTTATATTTACACACCCGTTTCTATAGTTTTTATATTTACACACCCATTTCTATAGCTTTCTATTTACATGTATTTATATACTTTTATTTTTACACACCCACTTCTATAGTTTTATACTTACATGCATTTCTATACTTTTATATTAACACACCCATTTCTCTAGTTTTATATTTATGTACTCATTTCTGTAATTTTATATTTACAAACTCATTTCTATACTTTTATTACACTGATTAGTAAACTTTTATATTTACACAAATTTCTATAGTCTTGCATTTCTATAGTATTATATTTCTGTACGTTTATATTTACACACTGATTTCTTTGTTTTGTATTTGCACACGCATATCTACAGTTTTATATTTACATGCATTTCTATAGTTTTATAACTATACACTAATTTCTATTATAACTATACACTAATTTCTATAGTTGTATATTTATAAATATAAAATACGAAACAATAAATGAAACACTTTCAAAGTTACTCAGTTTTTAAGATAAACAATTTAAGATAAACAACTCAACTAAAAAAGGTTTTTTTTTAAAAAATGATGACATCTTACCCTGTCTCCCGCTAACTTCACGTGTTGGTCAATTTTTTTGGCAAAAAATGTCTGAATATAAAAAAAGTTGTTTTTCTTTTAATTTTAAAATTGACAATTGTTACTTTTATCATATTAATATAACTGATAAGTCATGAAACAAACAAAATAATTTGACCAAAAAAAGTTCAGATATAGGTAGGCCTGTCAACAACAAAAAAACTTAAAATAAATTTTAATAAGTGAAGAAGTATTTACTCTCTACCCACCACCCAATCGTCTTCATAGTTGTTCTCTTGTGGCAGAAAACCACAACAAGTTTGCACAGGGAATCCAAACTTGTCGACATATCCAGAGTATTTCTGGTGTATGGACTGTTCTGATGTGGCCCTCTTGGCACCAAGTGTTGAATTATGAAGGTGAAGTCTGGAACAGATACAAGTTTTAACCAGGTAAGCTTTGTGTTTTAAATTTTGGATTTGTTCTCTGGCTGTATTACAGTAAAATTTTGGATTTATTCTCTATCTTTATTACAGTAAAAAATTGGATTTGTTCTTGAACTTTATTACTGTTAAAAAATTATTTGTTCTCTAAATCTTCAGTGTTGTTAAAAAGACAACAATTCAATCAACAAATCAATACAAATTATGCTTTAATAAACTATTGTTTCTTTATACTTAATGTAGTATTGATTGATGATTAGCCATACATTTGTACAGTACTATTGTTGCTAAAGGTATTTTAACCTATTGTGTTAAGTTTAGGGCACAAACACAAGCATTTGTGTCAGATTTTTGTATAGAGATGTGGATATGGTTATTTGTTAAGCCCCAGAATATTTTAGACTTCCTTTCAATGAAATCCAAGTATTGGGAATCTAGCAGAAACTTTATTTTTTTAAAGTGGGGTGCTAAGCCATATTTCTAGAGCATCTCTAACATTGTAGACAACAACCAGTCACCAACATTGTTTTATCAGCCTCAAAATTGTTTTGTTTTATTTCTTTAGAGATTTGTGTTTTTAAATCTATTAAAATATGATTAAACCTTGCCATTTGCTCCCCAAGTTTAGCAGCATGGTGGGACAGAGGTTGGATGTCTACATATTCCATGACCAGCATAGCTCCAGCCTTGGGGCTTCTGATAACCTATTCAAGAATTCAAGCAAATGATGTATTGCTTCACATACCCCACAAAGAACAGTAGTTCTCAAAACTAGACATAATCAAATGTTCTTAAAAAAAGGTTTGAATATATTTAACTTGGAGGTTGGGCATGTGTCTTCTTTGAGAGCATTATTTTTAAATACATATTTTTAAAAAAAGGTTAATTTATGTTAGTTGTTTTTGCTGTTTATTCATGATAAATTAAACTTCTTAAGTTGTGAAAATTGTCTCTAATACTAAAATTACAAACATAACATTAAAATATATTCTAGGAACAAATGTTCAGATTAAATTAAATTATTAAATTATATTCTAGGAACAGGTTTTACACATTAAATTCAAATTTTTTTTAACAGCTTACCTTAATAGGTTTTGGAACACGAACTTCATTTGCTGTGGACAGCGCAATCAAGCTTTCATATTCTCCTTCAAACATCAGATCTGCCTAAAAAACAAGTTAATAAAAAGTCTAGTGACAATTTAAGCGAAATTTCCTTATGTTATCCATAACAATTTTTTATTTTTTGTGGCCAAACAAAAGGATATTTTTTTGCGCTAAAAACCTACATGATGCTCAGTTTAAATTAAAAATATCATCCTAGGCCTACACGATGCTCAGTTTAAAAATTCTTAATTAATTTTTTGTGACCCAACGAAAGGATATTTTTGAAAACTTTCTTCGGCAATATTGTTCTAAATTATGGCAGGAATCGATTGGTAAATATTTCAAGTCGCTAAGTGGTCTGGTTGCAGAGATATGGGCCAAAAACTGCATTTTTTCGAGGTTTTTTGGCTTTTCCGGGAAATCCAGGAAGGAATTCCTGGAATTTTTTTGGCCCACAATCATCCACGGAACTTGCTTAACATATTTGCTTTTGGAACTAGTCCTCGATATTGCTTCGTTGAGGAGGAGATACCACTTAAAGCTGCGGACACACATCCATCCATTCATTCACACATCCAGAAATGACGAGTTAATAATCGCAATTGTCCGTATGGAAATTGTGCTAAAAAACAGTTTACATTTAGACAAACAGTTATAATACAATAACTAAAACGTTGAATAAAGTCACTAGTTTTAAGGTATTTGAAAATACATTACCTTATCTTTATTATTAAATTTCACAAATATTTTCCCATTTTCAGTTTCATAGGCTGTGCCTTGGCTGATACACCCCCCACCTCCTTCACCCGTTCTTTGCAGGGAGGTAACACCAAGTTCCCTTTTCAGTAAGTCTTCAAGGGAGCTCATTCTGTTCAAGAAAGTAAATCAAGAATGTGATAATTATAGGTGTATCAGTCTAACATTAAACAAGGCGGTTAAAAATGTGGAACTCCAGGTTAAAAAAAGTAAAGTTCCTGTTTCAGACCTAACATATCCTTATTGCAGATGATGTGTCTTGACCTTGACATATGAAGGGGTGGTGTGATCAGCACCAGAGTTTCTTCCAGGCATCTTTTCGGGGGGGTTTGGCCCCCCCCCCCCCCCGAACGAAATGAAATTAATATAATTTATATAGAAAATATATACTTTTAACAGTGTCCGCCCCCCCCCCCCCCGAAGAAAGTTTACCCCCCCCCAGAAAATTTCAAGTGCCCCCCCCAATTTCCCAAATGGGGTTCAGTGTTCAGGTACCCATCAGAGCTAGGTGGACTTAGAAACATCCTGCAATCTCAACTGAGATCCAAACTCAAGACCTGCTGCTGAGCAGCCTGCTGACTACCAGTTGAGTAGTATATATATATATATATATATATATATATATATATATATATATATATATATATATATATATATATATATATATATATATATATATATATATATATATATATATATATATATACTAATATAGCTAGTAATAAATACTTGAATACTACAAAATAGGGTAATCTATCGTTTTGGGTACGTAAAATCGCCCGCGATTTGTAATGTGAAAAACAGGTGACTCCTTAAATTTTAATAATTATTTCACATTTTGAGGAGGATTTATGTTTTAAAAAATTCAAAAAATGTTTCCTTGATTCATTTATGTACCTGTTTTTAAACAATTGAATTAAAATTTTTCCGTAATAAATGAAGACTAGCGATGTTTCCAACAGATGCAACCATGCTCATTTGACATTTACTATAGCAGCCATCTTGTCTAAGTTTTATATTTATAAGCTTTTAGCGCCAGATTCAGGGGGAAGCCACTCTATTTTACAAATGGCTGCTGTTTATATAGCAAATCTTGCTCTCAGACACCGCTGTTTAAAGTTAATTTCTGGCCTATATCGATATATTTAGCCATTGATTTAGGTTTATTATTCATTTATCTATAATATTTGACACAAACGTATGACAATACACTTCTATTAAAGCCTTGACAATGAGGTAACGTTTTCGTACATAAATAACCGCGGGCGATTTTACGTACCCAAAACGATAGATTAAATTAGATTACCCAAAATACTAGGCCCTACGTAAAATAACGATCTGTTTCTATTTTAAATAAACTACGAGATTCGAGATAAAATCTACACGTAGATCTAGATCTAGATCTAGCATGCATCTACCACTAGAGATACAGATAGATCTAGATCTAGTACTTCTTATTCGAGATTTTTACTTTACTAACTGTAACTTTTCAAGTCTGCTACGACTCACTCTAATCTCTAGTGTTGACAAACATCAACAAATTAAAAAATATAACCGGAAATCATTAAGTAAATGATCAAAAAGATGAAATTCTAGACTAGTTAGGCGTGCTTAAAAATCGTTTTAAATTTCCATTTATCTAGATCTAAATTAAATATAGATAGAATTAAAAACTACACTTTAAAATTCTACATTTTTTCATCTTTCTCTTAATTGTAAATTTTTGTGTCTATCTTTATTTTTACAGTCACTAATCAACACTTTTGCGTCAAAAATTTGTTAGGCCTGGTGTAAAAATTGTGGAGTGAAAGATTTGCATTGATGAAACTAGATTTAAGAAAGAGAACTGGCCTATAAAGTAAACAAACATTGACGATCTGGCGTTGCATATCACAAAGCAGTGGTTATGACAACAATACAAAAAAATAGAGGGCATAGTAATGGGTAAAAACAAAACTTTCACCTTATGTAAAAAAAAAAAAAAATTAAATTGAGTGACATCCTTTTTTTTTGGGAAGCGATATATCCTAGATATACGTAAATAAATAGGTTATGTACACACACACACACACATATATATATATATATATATATATATATATATATATATATATATATATATATATATATATATATATATATATATATGCCTATCTATATATATATATTTGCTTTATATATATATATATATATATATATAGGCCCTATATATATATATATATATATATATATATATATATATATATATATATATATATATATATATATATATATATATATATATATATATAGGGCCTATGCTTTTTATATACAAAAGCACTTACGTGTGAACGAATATGTCAGTTTAAGATTATTTCTTTATTCTTGCTTTATATGAAAGTTTAACACGTATGAATCACCGACCTAGCTCGTATTGTAAAGGATAAAAAATTGAAGCATTTTTTAAAAACTTAACGGTAATGTTATCTATGTTTGTGTTGGTGTTATTCCCCTCAATGGTATCAACCTTTGCTATCATTGACCAACGCCCCCGCCCTCTGACCTTACAGATTTAACATGTGTTAGATTTTAAAATAATTTTAATTAATAGCTTTGTTGTTGTTGTTGTTGTTGTTGTTTTACATGTTACTTGACAGGCAGACTGTTGCCTTGACCTGGGATTGTCTAATTAATTTTGGAACGGCAAGCCTAAACTAAGCCAACAGCTGGCTAGTGTGTAAGCCACCTATAACGATTACACTGGTGACCATAACACTAAGCCGTGTTCCGACATCACCATCTTACGACCTTTGACCCCACCTGTTGTACTTATAGTAAAAAAAAACATAATTGAAATATTGTTGAGCTCGCCTACCAGACATAGCTATTATGGTTAAACTGTGTGCAGTAAATACGTCTGACAGATCAGGTTTAACCACTTTATGTATCCGTCTATCGACCGTGATGGTGGTCTTTAAGTGATTTGTTTAACATGTGGTAATGATATCTTGAGAGTGTATAATAATCATATATATATATATATATATATATATATATATATATATATATATATATATATATATATATATATATATATATATATATATATATATATATATATATATATATCCTAACACAAACAAAATATATAAAGGTTCCCAGAAAAATGCGTGAAGGAAAAAAGCGCAAACAGAAAAATGGCCACACAAAAAATGCGCAAATAAGAAACAGCACCTACGTATGTATTATCGAAAAATGTTAGCAATTTATTTTTCTATGCATTTTAGAAAGAGCGGTGGCATTTGTTGTTTTTTTTTAAAATATACATGATTGAGAATGAAATATATGCCTATGTTTACACACATACACAGACCAACTTAAACATGCAAGCCTAACACACACACACACACACACACACACACACACACATATATATATATATATATATATATATATATATATATATATATATATATATATATATATATATATATATATATATATATATACAGTATCACACTCATCTGTGTGCTATTTTCTGTTTGCGTAATTTTATTATTTGCACATTTTTCTGTTTTCGCATTTTTCTGTGTGCGCAAATTTCTGTTTGCGCTTTTTTCCGTTGTGCATTTTTCCGTTGCGCACCTTTCTGGTCACGTCGTATATAAAGCAGATGGTACAACACTTTATGTAACTGCACCGAGTGTCAACAGCTTTAGTGACGCATTTGAATATCAGCATTTAGAGGTGACAACGGATTTCACGAAAACAATTGAAAATACTTTTTCTCTAACGCGGACTGGGTTATCTCCCTTTCGCTATATCTCCTGGATGGGACTATTTGCTTATGTCAATTGGTGAGTACACTATAACTTCAGCCTAAATGGTCTGAGTGCAACAATGTTATCCCATTCTCGCATGTGCTAAAACATTTTTACTTTCTCGTATATACGAAGTATAGAGAAAGTCTTGTAATCGTGCAAAAAAAATCGAGATTTTTGCAAATCTCGACGTTTTACACCTCACTGATACGGAAAAACATAATTTTGCAATCTTGTCCGTATGTCTGTGTGTCTGTCTGTCTGTCTGTGTGTAAACACGATTACTTGAGTACCGGTACAGCTAGGTTGATGAAATTTCATATATAAGTATTTTATCAAAATCGTAGATCCGTATTAACTTTTAAGCGATTCCCGATAACCGGAAGTGGTACTTTTTCTACTTTGAATTTTTCAAAAGCCTATAACTTGAGTACTATTTCAGATAGATAAATGAAATTTCACATGTAAGTAAAAGATCTAATTCTCTACCTTCTATCAAATTTTGAGCAATTTCCGTTGACCGGAAGGAGTAATTTACGCTATTTCCAATTTCTCAAAAAACGCATGTAAATTTATAAAGTACTAATAATATTGCGCACTATTATGCACGTTTTGTTTTGGCGTTCGCTTGGTGCGCAATTCAGTTTCTACTAGATTCTATTCTATTTTTAAAAGTTTAAGTAAACAAAAATCCCGTCTATATTCCGAGTTGCCATCCCACGTAGTGTTATATTAGAATATTCGAGAAAGTTTAGGGGAGATCACTCCCGGTTTATTATAACGTAGAATGGATTTCGCACGACTATTATTTTACATAAGTTAACATCGTAGACCAGGGGTCTCCAAACTACGGCCCGCGGGCCGGATGCGGCCCTCGAGGTCCTTTCATCCGGCCCGCGGCGATCTTTTTGTCCATGGAATAAGTGTTTATTAGAGGTGGCTGAGGAACTTTGGACAGAAAATTCAAACAATTTGAAAATGTAGCTTTGGTTGCAAATACCATTGCCCGCCGTGTTGCAGACATTGGTGAAAACATCGTGACTCAAATAGCAAAAAATGCAAGCAAGTTCAGCCATTTTTCAATCTGCAATGGATGAGTCGCTGGACAGCTGTTCCCCCTCTCAACTGCTTGTGTTCATTAGAGGTGTGGATGAAGACATAAATATAACACAAGAGCTGGCTTCCCTACATAGAATGTATGGCACTGTTACCGGAGAGGATATCAAACCATAGATAGTTCAGATACATGTTGAAAGATACAAACACATAATCGCAAGATTTACCTTATTTCACAGCAGTAAGATGGCTAATTTGCGAGAAAGTTCTGTGACTTCCTGGAAATTAAAGGCAAGCCACAGCCATTAATGTCTGATGAAGAGTGGGTAAAGAAATTGGCCTCTGCTGCAGACATAATTAGTCATTTAAATTTTCTGAACCTAAAATTAAAAGAGAGAGAAATCTAGTTTCTGATCTATACACCCACCTAAAGGCCTTTAGATACAAACTTGTCATGTTTTTGGAACAAGTACTGGCCAACAACTTGACGCACTCTCAGTTGTGCAAGGTCTTTACGGCTGAAGCAACCACTGAGTTCCCCACGTCATTTGCATACGAGATCATCAAAGACCTCCCGCTGCAGTTTCAGTAGTGGTTTTCTGACTTGGATTCAAGGGCAGAAGAAGTGAGACTGTTCCAAAACCCATTTGAAGCAAATGTGGCCAGTTGCAAAGATGAACTGCGGCTGGAAGTCATTAGAGACAAGTTCAATGAAGGGCGGGTGGGTTTTTATAAGTTTTTTGCACAAGGAAGACATTCCTAATATTAAAACTTTTGCATCAAAGTACCTTTTAAAATTTTGAACAAGATACCTGTGTCAACAAACTTTTTCAAGACAGAAATAAGTGAATAATAATTTGAGAGCAAACTTGGAACTCTAGTGTGTTGTTGGCCCCCGACAGTGTTTCTTTCAGACTTTTTTTTATCCGTGGGGGGGGGGGTGACACTTGAAATTTGAATATATTTGGTGCGGGGGGCGTTTTTCAGGGGTGGGGGGGGGGGCGCCACCACTCCGAAAAAGATGTCTTGAAGAAATTCTGGCCCCCGAACTGATATTTTATAGTTAATGCGGCCCGCGGGCTGAAAAGTTTGGAGACCCCTGATAAAGATTATGCTTGGCTGAAAGGTAAATATAAAGTGGCGGTCATGGAAGAACCAATAGCAGATATGATTATTGGGAGTGCAAAGAAAGTGAAAGAAAGTAATGAGGAAGATATAGATAGATGGGAAAGTCAAATTGGAGCAGCGGTTGAGACAAGAGCACAGAAACCAGCAAATCAAGGAAGTGGGGACAATGAGGAAAGCAACACAGAATTAATAGAAGATATAAATGAATGGATAAAACTTCAGGAAGAAGACAATACTCTCAAAAATATACTGAAAAACATCAATACAAGTAACATGAATGTCAGGGGATCTAAGTACACTAAAGAAAATAATGTTTTAGTCAGGAAATATATTGATAACAAGAATAATGAAAAGACTCAGATAGTGGTGCCACAAACTATGAGAACAAAGATATTACAACAAGCACATGACAGTCCATTGGGGGCACACATGGCAGAAAACAATACATTTGAGAGAATAGCTGA